GCAACATGTATTTGATCGGGAAAGATCTTTTAGCTCTTGGTAAGTTGTAATAAGCAACTTTTCTCAACACCCTTCAAGGTCGACATTCACGTTGTCTTTGCATATATCATGTTAAGAGACAGAAAAGAAAAAGAATCATTCAACTATTGAATGATCTATTTTGTGAACACTATCAAATCCCCTTCTTTTCTTAAATCATCAACAAAACATTTTTCTATACAAAAAAGATTGAATTTAAAGAGTTCAAAAGTTAATGAATATGAAAATATCAATATCTGCTAGGGTGTGGGTGTGGTTTTGACGTTGTGAGTGTAGAAGCTAGGTGATTACAGTATCCACATCCAAATCCACACCCTCTTTTTTCATTATTAAACCATAGCATCCAATATAGTTGAAATGGATAAAACTTTTTAAGTTCATCTGAATGAAAATATAAAGTAACTGCTATCACATTATTTTTTGATGATCAACAAGAATAATCGATATACTTTTATTCACTACACTTTTCGTTAGATGTATCACAATCATTCCAATATCAAAAACAAATGCTTTATATTTGTATGAGAAATTACATACTAAAAACACAAACAGAATGCGTATAATAACTTTTTAAAGACATAAATTTTTTTTTATTCTATCTGTTATCAGAATTCAGCTCAATCGACGACATTGATTAAAAGTTTAACTCCGATGATCGATTATGATTAAGATCATTAATTTCTTCTTCCTTTTCCCATAGTTTATTTATGTCTTCTTCAATCATATCAATACGAATCTTCTTCGTTATTATTTTGTTTTTATTCGTGATTAATAAATAAAGTTTATCTAATTTGTCTTTATCTTGTATTTTAGCAAATTTCTTCTGAATAATCTTTCGAGAAGAAGATTGATCTTCTATTTGTATACGAATATTATATTTATCTTGTAAATCACGTATATGTTGACCATTTTTTCCAATAAAACGACCAATTTTTCTTCGGCGTTCTTGAAGAGAAATTTCTGATTCGAATAAAAGAGATAAGAAATGATAAGGTTCAAATAAATCAATAGGTTCAATATTTGCTTCTTTCCATTCTTGAATTATTCGTTCTTTAACTTCATCAATAAGAATTTCATTTGTTATTAATTGATTTTTTTTTGGTAATAAATAAATAGAAGTTATTTTTATTTTGTTCGTTAACAATTTTTTGAATATATTTTCGATCGAAAGTTTCATCATTCATAATATATAAACGAATATTATATTGATCTTCTAAATTGCGTAAATTTTCTCCTTTTTTTTTCAATAAAACGACCTATCATTTCACGACGTTCATGCAATGAAAGTTCCAATTCGAATGAAAGACAAACAAATGGAAAATGATTATGATCAAAAGATAATTCTTTTTGAATAAATTCAAATTCACTTGTTTCTTCCCATTTTTATTTCATCCATTGAAATTGTATCCGTCGTTACTAATGGATGTTTTCTTCGAATTAACACATCAAGTTCATCTAAATTAACTATGTTTCGTAGTTTAGCAACATTTTCGAGTTTAGTATTTCTTTTAAATGTTTTGTTCGAAGAACTATGAATAATGTGAATACAGACATCATATTTATCTTGTAAAGTATTTAAATTTTGACCTTTTTTCCAATAAAACGAGAAATTCTTCTATGACATTCTTGAAAATCTGTTTCTGGTTCAAATGAAAGCTTTATAGTTTCAAAAGATTTACCTAATGAAATTTCATCACATATATTAATTAATACATTAAGATCAATCACATTCAAACCTAAAATTAAAATAAAATATAAAAAGACGATTTTATTAATAGAATATTTACCTTTTTTCCCATTACATGAACAACATCGTTTAGGTAATTCATAATAAATAGAATTTTTATATTTCTTTCCACGTCGAATCAAACTAATAGCATTCTTAAATTTTGATTGATATTTTGAATTATGTACAATACATCCATCAGTTACTGTTATTATTTTAAACGGTTCTAAAACTAAAATATATAACAAACTAACTTGTTTTCTACATACTATATTTACATTGTTATTCGTTCATTGTATTTTCTTCGTTAGATAGTGTTTGTTGATTATTTATATTCTCATTGACAACTACTGAAATTGATCGTGGTATAATATTTCTGCGTAGGGGATATGAGAGTCGGTGAAAGCGTATGGGATTTTTGTTTATAAATGGCGGGTAAAATTGTTGTGTAATTGCTAATGAATCTTGTGATTCTTCCTCATCTGTTGTTGTATCATTTTCGATTTTAATAATTTAACAAACTGGTTCATATTTGATGAAAAACGAAATTTCAGTGTTGAACATAATTATAACGTGATATCTTCACACATTTGACGTAGAATATCAAGATCGGTAGTCTTTAATTCTATAAATAACGATATAAATTATGAAAATCTTATTAAATAATTGTATTTACCTTTGATTCCATTACATGAACAACATCATTTTGGTAGTTCTTGATAAATATCATTAGAAAACGTGTTTTCACGACGCAGTTGATTAACAGCAGTATGAAATTTAGATACACTCTTACGAGAATGTACGATACATTTGTTATATGCCATGTAAATCGTAGTATACTCTGAAATGATGTGAAAATGTATATTTAAATACAAAATAGAAAGGAAAAACCCATGATTTGTATCTTGTGCAAAAGTAGTCATTACAATGATAATAGTCTGACACAATACGTCATAAATAAATGAAATACATAGAACGAAAAGAAAAAAAAATATCTATTTACGTCATAAGATTTAATTGCATACACATGTTCAAATCTCTATATTGACTTTTTCTACATATTGTGCAATTTCTGCTTTGATCTTATACTTGATTATTCGAAAAATAAGCTATGATAATAATCACAAGGAATAATAAAAAGAAGGTCATGAGGGGTGATGGTGGTATTAAGTTTCAATAGTTAGAAGTTTTTCATATTCGATAAACCATCACTTTCGGACCTCCGTTATAATTTGGATAGAACAATATATTATATTGAAACTAAATTGATATGGTGTAATAACTATTCGTCAAAGTGTCGAAAAGAGAAGAAAAATATTTTATCATTATACAAATTTGAAAATAACCGCGTACCTACTCAAACTTTATTTTTCCTTATTATGCTCATTCTCAAGTTGATGAATATTCTAAATTAACACGATAAAATAGTTATGCTTCTAATCATCGATTTAAAATTCTTGTATAAGTAACATTTTTTCTAAAACATAAAGAAGTGATTATTGACAATGTGGGAATGGCTATCGGTCTAGAATGGATATGAAACCTACACCCACCGATACAACATTTGTGTCAGAAATAAAAAGATAATTTAATATGTACGTTTTCTTAAAACTTCATCTTATTCAATGTGATTAAATGAAGAGAGATTCATGATTATAAAGATAATTTATTAGTTAAGAAAGAAAAATGAGATATTAGTATGAAGTGGAATAATATGAGATTAGTAAGTAAGGATAAAAATAAAAAGTATGGTTAGTTAAAAAAAGAAAAAGTGTTTCTATTGTTCAGTTAAAATTTGATTTCAGATGGCAGGCATATTTGTTGTTGTCTTCTTTCGAAATACAACTCGCCAATATTGTGAACGTCCTTGACTCATGTCTTCATAGATTTGAGTACCAGGTAATCCAGCAAACAGACGAAAATATTCTTGTTCTTCAGGTTGAATATAACGTTGAATGAAATCAGTACGAGATTTATTTTGAATATCAAGTGCATGAAGAACATTCTTTGTAATATTAATCTTTTCTTCAATAATTAGTTCATCATTTGCTATCAGATCGTAAATTGATGTATCTGATCCATTCATGTAACAAAAATCACACCATAGAAGATATCCATTTGGACGAAGTACACGAACAACTTCGTTGGCAAACTGTGTGATTGCTTTTGGTTCGTCAGAAGCATGTGTTGCTTCGATACAAAGAATAATATCAATTGACTCATTTTCAAATGGTAGATGTTTTGTTGCATTAGCTACTACGAAAGAAAGACGAGGAATTGTCGAATAAAGTCGTTGACATAAATTAATAATATCTTGAGAAGGATCTATTCCAATGTAAGAATGAGACGCATGAGTATGAACACACCATGCAGCACCAGCACCTCTACCGCAATTAATTTCAAGGACATTCTTATCTATTAATGTCGCACTTGCAAGAACCTAGAAAATAAAACAAAATATTTCAATCATGGCTTGTACATCGGAAAAGTCACAAAAATTCTCGATTTTTCTTTATATATTACCTGTTCTGTATCGTATGTTCGTGATACAGTGAATAATTTTATCAAAAGTTATTTCAATTGATTTTAAGAGATTTTTCTGACAGACGTCTAGTATGCATACCACTGAAATTATTTATAGTCATTACAATAGAACTGCATTATACATATTATTCTAATGTCGTATTTTTATTGGATGATTTTCTTTTCGTATTTAGAGTGTATAGCATCTAATAAAACAACCTTATATTCATATCCATATAAATTCCTTACAAATCAAGGACAATGACTAGATCTGTTGATAGTAGATGCGAGGTAGGATAAAAAAGAAACACTAAAGTAAAGTCTTGTATTCTTTTCTACATACTTGTTCATAAAGCTTTCTTGAATAATAGCCAGTATGATCATCGATATATTCATCCATATCTGCATAGCCATAATTCATAAATTGTAATTCATTTACATTCGTATAGATACTTGCAATTCGTTCGTACCAGAGAAACAATTTGTTAGTTGTCTCGTATCCTTGCTGATATTTTACTAGATCATCATGAACTATTGTCGGCCGAGATAATTTTACTTTTACTGTACAAGATTCTAAAAGAAAGAGATATAATATAATAAAACGATTAATAAATTCATATGCAATAATTAGAAGTAAACAGTCTAACTTCAAATGAAACTATTTTAAAGAATAAAATATCAGAGTACAGATATGACAAACGTATGATAAACATAAAAAGGTGTAAGATTTTTGTATCCGTTTCGAAAATAATGTAAATGTACAATCTTATCAAGATGTTTTATGTATAGCTTTTTAATTTTCCAGTTTAATTATAAAACTAGTTTATCTGACAAGAGTTTAAAACGTTACGAATCCAATACTCTATCGTATCTTCGTCGTATCATATATTTAAGAAAAATACTGATCATCAATTAATTTTGTGTCATAAGCTATTATTTATTAATATAAAATGATAATTTTAAACTAATCTAATACTAGTACGAGACGCTGATAATTAATTATAAGTTGAAACTGACAAAGAGATTTAATTGAGTTCCATATCAACAAAAGAATACGATAAAAATAGATTCGATGTATAGTATATCATATGTTATGATCAGCAGAATAGTTTAGAAAAAATCTAGTGCAAGTGAAAAAAATCATTAATCAAATGATTTTTATCATGGCTTGCCAGCAAAGGACTTAGAAAATGCTATATTCAATTTAGCTTCTTATATTGGAACTATAGCATGCTCATTTTTAAGAACAGTATATCTCACTTAAAAGAAATAATAGGGTATAAAAAATGAACATTAATAACGATTAGATAATATCCTGGAAGTCTTATATAAAAGCAGTTTATCTATTCAAGTGACTTACGTGCAGGAATCCCTTTCCAGTGAGTATTTAGTGGTAATTGATCATTTTTCATTATCAATGTCATGGGATAAAGACGATTGTTACCCATTAGTTTGCAGCCTGGCATTACAATTGAGTAACTCATCAGTACACATGAATTACCGATTGATACAGGAGCTAGTTTTAAAATACGTTGTTCAAAACTGTGACCCTAGAAAGAATCAGAAAAGCAATTTTGTGTGGAGGTACATAACAAAAAACGTATGTATTACCTGTATCTGTGTACGCATATGAACTCGGACATTATCTCCAATAGTCATCAAATGATAATCGGTAATACAGTATATATCAGGCATTATAACATTCTCACCAATATGAGCGCCGTATGCTCGAAATAGTCGAATGAGCCATTGTGTATTGCCAAGAAATGGACCAATAAATTGTGCATAATCTAGGATCATTCTTGTTATTATTTTTTCTATAACTTGATAACGTATATATGAACGCCATCGACAGAAGCTACAGGCAAGTATTGTATGAATGATTGATCCACCAACGAGACCACCAAACGAATAAATGCTTAATAAAAGACATTTGCTGACATAATGAGACAAGCATGTATGCCAAAATGGTATGATTTCAATCTGATCTTGGTTTTTTGCTGTTACAGGCATTTGAAATGGCATTGTAAGAGCTGGAACACCCATGAGAACTACTCCATATTTACTTTTTGTCTCTCGCGAGATGCGTGTTAAATTGCCAATCATTGTCTCGGATGCAAGGCAACTACCAGGCAAGATTGAACATCCATTGGCAAGGTTTGTATGAGATCCAAGCATTATTTGATCCACACGATGATCACCTGAGAGTGTCAATTCAGTAGAAACTATTAAAATTCCACCAAAAGTAGTAACACCCATTTCGAGTTTTAATAGATTTGTTGGGCAGGATAGAAAAGTGTCTATCTCAGCAAGTTTGACATTTTCTTCGACATGAGCACCTAACCAACGAAGAACATAAGGATAAAGATAATCATAGCCAGTCGGTAATAGCCAAGCATGATGAAAACTAGATACAATTAATTGACGAAGCCATATTTTTTGTAAATATAACCTAGATGCTACTGGGTATATTTCACCAGCAGCACAGGGCCCTACTATGAATTTCAACAGGAGAAGCGAGATGAAACAACCAATAATTGACCATAAAGTCCAACAAAAAGCAATACTGATTGGTAGTGGTATTTGTGTAACCGAATAAACTTTATAGACGAGGATCAAAAGTGTATAATGAATACAGATTATCGAGATGATTACAATAATTTGGTAGATCTTATGCCATATGGATAATGATCTGTTACTCTGCACAATGGAGATATCTGATGGAAGAGATTTGTGTTCTTCACCATCGACAATCGTTTCAGATGCGACGAAGCCAGTGACTGATGACATTGGTTCAACAATAATATTATTTTGCATATCAACTCCATCAAATAGAATCGATCGTGTACCGATTGAACAATTAGATCCAATTCTAACTGAACTCAGTTTGAAAGTGTTATCATCATTAAAATATAAACAGTTCAGACACGTTTCATTAGCAATCCAACTTCTATCGTCAATTTCTAACAACCATGGAGCATCGATAGTTGTGGTATAAATATGTGTGTTGAGACTTATTCGCGCACCACAAAGACGAAGATAATAACTGTAGAGTGGTGTGCCAAGTATATGCTGCAGCCAAAATATATTATTATTCCAAAGTCGATCTAAAAACCACCATCGATAATAGCTCCAAGAGAAAACATTGTCATCTTTGATGTTTCGCGGTGATAGTAAATGTGAGCAAATGATATAAAATAGAAGATGACATATTGGTAAGATAGGAAAAAGGAATGGGCACCATCGATGAATCACCATGATTGGCAAGGACCACTGGCAAACAAGGAGTGCAATACCTACAGATTCTATAACAAACGAAGGTGAAAAACAAACATGTGTTTCATGAGAGTGAATGGTTGTGAGCACTGTCTCTTGTGGTGCATCCAAAATCAATAAAGGCTCAATAGCTTGTGCTAATTGTCGAATAGATGGATTAGTAAATAAAAGACCAATGTCAATATTAGTAAACAGCTGTTGCCGTATTAATGTAAGTGCACGTATAGCATCTAGAGATGTTCCACCGAGCTGACTAAAGGGAACTTCAATAGACGGAGATTCAATATGGAAAGCTTGACTAAATATATCTTGTAACTGTTTTTCTAAAGTAGTGTGCGGCACATTACCATCAATGTTATCAGTTAACACTGAAAAATTAGGTGAAGGAAGTTGTTTTCGATCTATTTTTCCATTTTGATTCAAAGGTAATTTATCAAGTATAATGAATATGAATGGAATCATATGTGGTGGAAGATGAGATTCACAATGTTGACGTAGTTGTTCTTCATTTATATAAGAAGATTGAACATATGCAACTAAATAATCATCATTCCACTTCATGACAATACAAGCAGAGACGGATGTAATGTTAAGTAAACATCGTTCGATTTCACTAAGTTCAATTCGTTGTCCACGTAGTTTGATCTGATGATCTTTTCTTCCTTGATAATGAAGAAGACCGTTGTTATCCATTCTAACAAGGTCACCTATTCGGTAAAATAGCTGACCATCAATTTCGATAAGAGCTTTTGCTGTCAAATCATCACGTCCAAGATAACCAGCAAACACACCAACTCCACCTGCACACAGTTCACCTTCTTGATTGGTGATTGATTGTTGTGAATATTCATTCATAATTATACACTGGTAATTAGAAAGCGATCTACCAATCGGAATGCTTTCTATATTATTTATAACGTTTACGTGGTGAACTGCACAATCTATGGTTGCTTCAGCTGGACCATAAGTATTCCATACAATACAGTTTGTTATACCGATTTTCATAATCAAGTCGATGAGATCGACAGAGAAGGATTCGCCTATAACAATAAACGTACACTAGATAAGCACGCAAAATTTGTTTGAGAGTCACTCACCACCGCTACAAAGTGATCGAAGATGTTCGACGGCATTTATGATCTTGTTCTGCTCAATAAAAACGAAGAAACTGTGTAGTAAACTTGGTACAGCATGTAGATATGTAATTTGTTTATTTTGTAGGACTCCAGATAAATAAGGGAAATCAATAATTCCACCTGGATGAAGCATAATCAATGTACCTCCAACTAACAATGTACCAAGTATCTCTTGAACATGAATATCAAATGAACATCGTGTCATTTGTACAACTGTATCATCTTTATTAAATGAGTTAATATAAGCCAAAGAATTGATACAATCAAT